AAGAATTTATTTATGTATACAGTGTTCCGTCTGTCTGTATGCTTGCTGGCCAGAAGAGGGCACCAGATCTCATTACAGATGGTTGTGAGCCACTATGCGGTTGCTGGGAATTGAACTCAGGACCTCTGGAAGAGCAGTCAGTGCTCTTAACCTCTGAGCCATCTCTCCAGCCCCCCTTTAGTCCGTTCTAGCCTGCCTCAGCCTGATTTGATTACAGATGTGTACTACTTGGCCCAGTTCTTTGTTATATAAGTAAACTTGGTCTTCTAAGATTCTTAATATATTTTCCCTATTAGTAGATGAATGCCTTAGATTCTAGGCAACAGGGAGGCCTGGAAAGCTAACTCAGCAGGAACCTTTCATAGAAGCCAGGAGAAAAGGGTATTGGCCATGGCTGTGGCTCTTGGCACGTGTTTGAGTGGGAATCTAGAAATCTGTGTATATATGTGTATGTTGTCGCTTTTTTGTCCCTAGATCCTGCGAGGGTCTAACACCTATGGCTGGCAATGTATCTACAAACTCAGTCCTTATTTCTCATGGACACCCTGTGTGGTTTCTTCCAGTTTGGCAGTGGGTGGGTTTCCTGGATCAGATGCTGACCAGTGACATGTCCTATTTTTTAATCCCATGTGCCTTCAGGTATCTGGAAATCTGGGCAGCAGATGGCCAGGACACCCTCTTCTTGAGGGCCAAGGATGAGGCCAGTGCAAGGTCATGGGCAGGTGCCATCCAAGCCCAGATCAGCACTTTCATACCTTGGGTCAAGGATGAGCTGCTGGCACTGCTGACAGCCACAGGTACAGCTGGGAACCAGGACATCAAGCAGATTGGCTGGCTGACAGAACAGGTGCTTGCTGTCACCCCTTGTCACCCCATGTCCTTCTGGCCCTTTGACCTCTTTTCCTTCCATCCCTCCTCATTATCGTTTTGCTTGCAGCTGCCCAGTGGGGGTACGGCTCCAACCCTGGCCCTGCTGACGGAGAAGGAGTTGCTCCTCTACTGCTCTCTCCCCCAGACTCGAGAGGCCCTGAGCAGGCCAGCCCGTACTGCCCCGCTCATTGCCACCAGGTACCAAGGAGCAGGG